CGGGAGAATCGTCATTAATCTCTACTAAATAAAGTTAAATAAATATGAACGTGCTACGGATTGATTAATTACACGAATTCAAATGATTATACACGTTATGATAAATAAAAATAGAAATAATAAAAATAAAATAAATAAAAATAAAAATAAATAATAGATTCAAAAAATAAAAATAAAAATAGAAATAAAATTTAAATTGTCCCGGAATTAAGAGATTTGACCAAAATATCTGCGTCAAAATCTAATTCCGGTAACAGTATTATGACATTTACGGCATTATGGCATTACGGCATTACGAAATTACGGTTTACGGCTTTTACGACTTTAGGGTCTCATTCCGAAATTTATTTACGGCTTATACGTAATACCTAATTTGCCATAATTCGAGAATTCCGACGACAAGTATACCCTCAATTTCTTAAATGCATAACAAAATTCGGAATTTTCAAAATGCTAAGGCTCTGCCAATTTTCAGTTTAAGGAAAAACCAGCCAATAAGTTTTGAAGCTTGAGCCATGAACAACAAAACTTATCGGTTAAATTTTTTAAAATGATATAATTTTTTTTTTGTTTTAGTATTTTGAAGTTGACCAATTGTTACTATAAGCAATTAATGATTATAGATGATCTGCACCGTAGGGTTTGTCTTTAGTTTTAATGTAATAGCGAGATTTTCTCAAAAAAATTATTTGTTAGGGTTCTATTCTTTTTTTAGTATTTTCATGCATTTTACTATGTTGTTATATATTGTGAAATATATTAAAATTTTGGGGTGAGGTGTTTGGATATGAAATTCTGATTGGCTAATTTGAATTTCACGACGTGAATTGCAAATTCATTTCACGCACATGTTACTATTTTCACGAGGAATTTCGAACGCTAATGTCATTACTAAATTTGGCAGTAAAAAATAATTTTAAACCCAAAATCACGTGAAGACTCATTTTTAAAAATTTGAGCGAATCACGAAATAGCGTGGCGCAACAATAGGAGGTCTTTAGCCATATAAATTGGGCTTAAAATTCTCATTTAATGAATAATCTTCATTGACTGAATAAAAAACATCCCATTTTTAGTTATACCACACAAACTTTCATATTAAAGTTTTTTTTAAATTAAAAATTTTCCCAAAAAAAAAAAACTTTTCATTGTTATAGTAAATAAACCATATCCCCAAATGAAGTAAATATATTAATTAATTGTAAACAGGATATTCTTGTACATTTCAGTATATCTATCATATTTGTTACCCAAAAAATTCTTTATCATAATCAAACAAAATAGCATAAAAAAGATTTTTACAATTTTTAAATTTTTAAAAATTATCAAATTACAATAAATTACATTTAAAATTCCATAATTACAATCCTCTTCCCATTTAATAAATATAATATTAATAATAATGGCACCAACAGCAACTGCTCGAGAAAATGTTAAAGTTACTGTTCGATTACGACCTCCAAATGAAACTGAGCTCGCCAGAACTGATTATAATATCTGGGACGTCGATTCCAATGAACACAGATTATCATTAGAACGGAATTTTGCCGAAAAGAATCGAAAACAATTAAGCGAGTTTTTTTATGGTATGTATGTATATTACGCAAAATCATTATAATCATATAATCGGAAATGAAGATTAATATAATATACATTTGTTATTTTATATTGTCGCATTAGATGAAATTTTTACTGGTAGTGATAATATAGCTTTATTTGACCGTGGAGTTAAAGATACAATCAAGTAAGTAAACTCTGGTTTGATGTGCTGGCCATTCTTATTAATTATAAATAACATTAACATCATTACTATTATAATTTCAAAAGAGCTACCATGGAAGGTTTCAATGGTATGTGTAACCATATAAATATGTGTTCATGAAATGTTAAATATAATCTACATATATATAAAATCTATACAATATAATGTAATTTGATCTATAGGTACAGTTTTTGCATATGGACAAACATCATCTGGCAAAACTTTTGTAAGTGAATAATAATGAGTTAATAATATAATTATTAAAACTATCAAAATTTATATATTTATAAATAATAGTATATATTCTAATTTCAATCCATTCTTTATCTTATCATTTTAGACAATGGTATGTGTGTGTTGTTGAGCTTTAGATTCTATTTCTTTGTTCATATGTATTAACGTTATTAATTTGATTTTCAAAATTTTGTTGTATATCTAACATGACTATTATAAATAACAGACAGGTAAATACTTAATT